TGCTAATCATCGGGCCACTTGTGGCTTGCTTTTTCAGTTTTACGGGGAATGTGATATACTGTAGTTGTCTCATCTCTTGTAATTTCCTTTGACAATGTAAAAGCTTTCATTCGTTACCGTGCATGCATTTGAGTTAAATCCGCTGTCATAAGAAGGAAAACCCGTTGTAGTAAGTAATGTTCTCCTTTTAATTTCTTTTGCAGTTGAAATACCGGGGTCACTGTGCGATGTCTATTCAAGACTGGGCATCCGATCATCTCGGGCTTTTGCTTTGGGTTCAACTATAATAACTAAAGGGGAAGAATTCACCATATGTAGAACCGCTCTTGGGAATTCTTTCAAGAATGGATCTCTTAACAATCCGAGACCTATATATACATGAAGCTGTATTGTGGTTACAAACGCTTTTAAGAAAGAAAAAACACAGTGGCGTGAGGTGAAAATATTAGGATTATGACCTGCTCGTAGAGCTCTAGTTTTGCAGGGTGATTAAATTCCATAACAAGTTAATTAAACGATGTTGATTACAGTGTTTTGACGTCCATATAATAGCTAGATGGATGGTAAGGCTACGTATTTAATTTTTACGCGGTTTTTGTTAACCTGTGGGAGAGTTGGAAACTCATAGCTGGGTAATAGCTATAGCCTATAACATGTAATCTACGTGACCTTCATGAAAATAGAGTATAATATTGTTTCGTATGCAACGATAATGGTGCAAGTGAAATTGATATTGACTAAATTTTTGAACTTTTAACATTTGAAACCCTGTTTTGACGAGTTATTTTTAGTATAAACTAATGGTCTTGTGTCATGAGGTGTCAACTTGTTTTGACAAATGAAATGAGAGTTTAAATAAAACACTTATTCGAAGTTTTCACAAACTGTGGAGTCTAATGTTTGTACACATGTTAAATAGCTTCGAACATACAATATGTTGGTAGAAAATTGAGAAACAATTTCATAAAAAGTCTGGCAATTGCATTTCTAGAAGGGAAGAATGAAGTGTGGCTCAACTCAACCTAACATGTACGTCCAAGGTGATGATTAAGTAATTTATGAAGTAAAATTAGATTTATGACATTTCAAGTTTAACTTAACTGAGGTTGAAATATTAGTTGGTTAAAAATCTTGAAATTAGTTAATTTGCATGTAATCAGATCTTAATGTAACTGATGAAAGATAGCATGTACCTTATTAATTCATGAAGATATGCATAAATTGATTCGCAGATCGCCGCTATAAATATTTTAAGAAAAATGAGCCTAACATGTGATGTTAGAAATAGTAGTTGTAGATATCTGCCCCTTTTCCCAATCCCATTTTGTGAGGTTATCACATGGCAATAGGAATCATCCAGCCTGCCTTTCCATTAATACTGGATCATGTAGGGTATGCTTCTGTTCAAATGAAGGTAATATTTTCCATAACTTTTTTTTAAAATAAATTATTTTTTCTCTTTTTATAAAAAAAAATATCTTTTTAGGTGGGTCATGTTGTGAAGAGGGGATTGGGAGGACAATAATGAAAATTCCAACCCTACATTTCAATGACAGTTTGGTAATGGCCCCATAAATCAGAAATGGTGCATGTTATATTTTGCATGACTTGTCCACTTCTTTGGCACTTTTATGAATTCTGCATCTTTTTTTTTTTGAATAACTCATTATAAAATTTGGAATAGAGTGATTTGGAGTACATACTGTTCAGTTTTCATTTAAATAAGTTTTGGCTTTTGGATGAATTGAATAGCTTGTTTGACCATTGTAGTGAGCTTGGTCAATCTTTTAAAATTAACTTTTTTCAAAAAAATAATCTCGATAAGAAATAGTTTGTGTCTGACTGAATATATAAGAGCGATTTTGAGTAATACTTTCTACAGGCCAAAAAATATTTATTTTTAATAAAACGAGATGTTTGTAGCAAAAATTGTTTTAAGAAGCTAAAACAAAAACAATTTTTGCTTAAAAGGTTTTTTTTGTGAAAAATTCACTCAAGATATACTTTTTTAAAATGTAGCCAGAACACTAGTTGTTGCTCAAAATTACTTCTTAAATTGAAAACAGCAAAACACAAATCATATTCTCACTAAACCACTTTTTTTTTTTTATAAAAAAAAAAACTTGTTTTCTTAAAAATTAGATAAAGTATGCATTTGCTTCATTAGTGACTACAAAAAAGTTTAGGAATCTTGACATTTTTGGCCATGCAGCTGGAATTCTTTTTATTCGTCTAGTCGTAATTATTTTTTTAATTTGTAGACTTTGTTTGGTTTATTATTGTGTAGGTAGTACTGTATAATTATCCAAAATTTTAAGGTATACATACACCTTGAAAACATTTTTTTTTCCCTTTTAACATTGCCAGCTGAAAAACAAGAACTAATCATTATTTTTGGAGGGCCTCTATGTCTCTGTCATATAATATAAATTGTATATAATAATTAAATTAATAGGGTGGTTATGTATTATGAAGGAATCCATGACTTAAAGGGAGATTAATTAATTAGTACCTACTACCAAAGTTTACAATCAACAATATTTGTGGATTCCTTTGGTTATTTATGTAATTTTATTTCAATTTGGATTATCTATCAGAAAATTAATTAATTTCGATTATTAAAAATGTACTTTTGTCTACTTAATAATAAAATATATAAAATTTGTTTTGCTCCATCAACTAAGAAGGAGATGGACGTAACAACTATGTGGACCACTTGAATTACATCTTTTAATTTTTTATTCTTTCATATGTTGTTATATAATAAAAGTTCATAAAAGAGGACCAAATTTATAACTATACGTATTTATCGGCATCTTTCGGATCGAAACAAATTTAATGAGCCTGCACGTATGTCAATTTTTTTTGAAATTATTTGCTTTTCGAAGAGTCTTCTAACATGTTATTATTGTTATTGTTAATATCACTTTAATCGGGATAGTTTATTTTAACATGCTATTGTTAACAATAACAACTATAAAGGATTCCTATCCTCTTATTATTCTTATTTTATAAAGATAAATATTTTCTTTAAAAAATTAACAACTCAAATAAAATATTGAAATGTATATAATATAAATCATTATATTTTAAAATTCAAATTTCAAAATTCACTTTTACAATCAAATCGTGACAAAAGGTCAAAATCAACTACAGTACATATACTTATTTTAAAAATAAAAATAATAATTACAGCTTAGTTGTCAAAGCTATGATGTATATAGAGTATTATCAATTAAAAGAACAGTATAATGAATGTACATCTTTCTGGAGGGAAATATAATATGCACGTTTTTCAGATCAATAATTAAATTATTGGCCAAATAGAAAAGGCCGGCAAAACCTTATCAGAAATTCCTCTTCAAACTGATATTTAAATTATTAAACCCCACTCTAGAGTGATTATTCCTTTTTCTTTTTATTTGATATTTATATTAAAATTTTAATAAATATAAAAATTTATTTGGAATAAAATTTATTGATCTTTTATTAATTCTCTTATAATTTTTTTTATATCTTAAAGTTTGAAGTCGAAATTACTAATAAAAAAATTAACATGATTAGAGTCATTATCTTCATTATTATACCAAAAGATATCATATCTCTAGACCCTATACCTTTTTTGTCATTTCTTTCCATCGACCTAATCGATTCCCAATTTTTTAAAATTACAACTTTTTGCATTTAAGGAAAAATATGAAATGTAGCCTTTATTGCAATCATTTACAGTTGTTCACGTACACCACAAAAACTTCAAAAACAATTAGAAGTTCGAAAATCCCGGTATAAGTTGTTACTTTTATTATCTTAATTTATGTGATTTTTTTTGTCAATCTCAAAAATGATAAGCTTTTATATTAAATAACAATTTAATTTTAAAATATCTATATTATTCATAATGAAATATCCATCTAAATTTCTATCATTCACTTGAGACCACAAATTTTAAAGGTTTTTCTCGATAGATATTTTCTTTAAAAAAATTATAAATATTAGATTCCAGTCTCAATCAAGACAAAAATATTAAGGGTTGCTTTTTATTTAGTTAGGCCTTGATAAATATAGTTATGATAGAATTGATAATTATACTTCGTAAAATGAATTAAAATATATATAAACCAACTCGTACAGGAGATTTATACATATGAAAGTTGTGATTTGGCCGGAAAAATAAATGATATTTAAGAGAAAAATCTAGAATGGAAGATAAAAGAAAAGATTGGGAACCCTAGCTAGTTCTAGATCACTCCATGGTGCATTATTGCTATTTACTAACTATTTCTTTTACCACTTTCTTCCTTATATAAATTTTACGCTCTTTTATTGCAGTCATTTAAAATTATACACGTAACTTCAAATCTAATATGATATAATGAATAAGACTGCTTCTCGTTTAATCAAAGATGTTCAAAATTTTAATTGGAAATAGTGATCTACCCAAATGGGATCTATCCTACTGATTAATAAGACTCTAATACATATAATAATAATATAAAAAAAAAGTACATTTATCTCCGTTTTTTTTAAAAAAAAATAGTTTCATTACAAAAGTTAGTGATTAACCTAATCAATAATTGCCATTTAAAAAACAGATTAAAAATAATTAAGAGCCCTAGTTCCAGATCATTCCATGGTGCATGATTGCTCCGACCGAAAGCAATAACAAGGGGTGGGTGGGGTGGGGGAAGAAGGGGGGTATGGGGTATACAGTACTCCCACTATTTCATGTCTTCATCAAACAAAACCTAAATGACGTGGCTCATTGTCGTTATTTCCACGTGTCATCACCACATGAAATTGGAGGTGAATTCTTAGCTGTCAATGCAGGCCTTTCGACCTCTACGGGACCGCTCGCCCACAAATTTTGGTTTGAAATCTTATTACATTATGGTCCAAATATTAACCGGTTACCTCCTATACCCGTTACCTAACCCCTCATGCAATTTACAAATTTCACAATATAAATCCATGCAAAACTTTCCCTAATTTCATCACTCCCCAACTTGTGCCCCCCTTAATAGTGAAAATTTTCAATTGTTAATTTTCTCGTTAAAAATGCCGATCAACCAAATTACTATTGGAAGCCATGAGGAACTCCGCCATCCCGGGGCGCTTAAAGCGGCCTTGGCGGAGTTCATCAGTACCCTGATCTTCGTATTCGCAGGTCAGGGTTCTGGTATGGCTTTCAATAAGCTTACCGATGGCGTCGCTACTCCCGCTGGCCTTATTTCCGCCTCCATAGCACACGCCTTCGGGTTGTTCGTCGCCGTCTCCGTCGGTGCTAACATCTCCGGCGGCCACGTCAACCCTGCTGTTACCTTCGGTGCTTTTGTTGGTGGAAACATCACTTTGTTCCGTGGAATTTTGTACATCATTGCACAGTTGCTTGGATCCACTGCTGCTTGCGCTCTCCTTGAATTCGCCACCGGTGGCATGGTAAGCCTATTTTCGATCTCTCAATTTATTTGTCGTATTTTAATTTTACACGAATTATAAAATTTATTATTGAATTTTATAGTTGTTATACTTTTGTCGTAATATTGAAAAAAAAACAGGTTACTTGTGACTGACCTTTTTTAGAGTTCAAATAATGTACACATCTCACTAATTATTCAGTTGTATTATTATTGGATTTAATTTTTATGACTTTAGGCTTGACATTTAATTAATTTTGACTTTTACATAGTTAGCGTCAATAGGGACTGTATAGTCATTTACTCTACATGTGTGACAGTTTGAAGTACAACCACAACATACCATGTGTAACAATGTGAGAGGTAATTTCGAGCTTTTGCAGATCTTTTAGGAAGTATATCCATAAACCTTTCTGAAAAAGTAGTGAAGAAAAAATTATACACGTGGCTATTTTTTAGTGTAAGTAGGGAGAGTATGGTCATTTGCTTTTCTAATGCTGACTTATGTCAGATATAAAAAGCATACATATTTTATTTTTGCTTTTTAATCTTCAAACGGATAATGAACGGTAGAACTTTGAAGTATGAGGTTGTTATGGAGTGATAACAAAGTTGGGTTTTTAGTTTTTTTTTTTTTTTTTTTTAATTTAGGGAATATTTTACTTCTTTAATGCGGAACTTTTCGGTGAATTTTGATTTTGTGAAGCTCTAATATGGATATTAACATTGGTGAAAAATGAAAAGAACTAAAAAAACCTTTTATACGGTAAAATGAAATATTATAACCTTTTCAAAAAAATTATCCATATTATTATATGGAGTACTTTCCGTTTTACGATAAAACGAATACTAATACTGAAATATATACCAGTGAAGTAAGTAGAATACATCAAACTATACTTTTATTAATTCAATTAAAATTTAAGTATTATCTTAAATAGAGAAAATGACTGTTAACAGTTTGGCTTGGGCCAAATTGTTACACACATTAGATTATTTTATAATGCATAAATTTGAAACTCATAATTGATTGGTTAAAAATCTTTTTATATCTATTTTGAAAGGGACTTATTGTCCTCTCATTATGTAAGATAGTAATATGATGGTGACTTTATTTAAAGCAATTAATTTAGTATGCTATTTATGAAAGCCAATTTAATTACTCCACCTAACATTATCATGTCCGTTAGGTATCTTTGAATAGTGAAAAAAATAGTCCTATGTTACAAATTTCTCAAATATTTGTACGAGTCTAATAATTGTGATGGTTAAAAATCTACGCAGAGCACGGGATCATTTGCATTGTCAGCCGGTGTATCAGTATGGAACGCGTTCGTATTCGAGATTGTGATGACTTTCGGTCTCGTTTACACTGTTTACGCAACCGCAGTTGACCCAAAGAAGGGAGATTTGGGTGTGATTGCACCAATTGCAATTGGTTTCATTGTTGGTGCCAACATTCTTGCTGGTGGTGCCTTTACTGGAGCTTCAATGAACCCAGCTGTGTCATTTGGCCCATCTTTGGTTAGCTGGACCTGGACTCACCAATGGGTTTACTGGGCTGGACCACTTATTGGTGGTGGGCTTGCTGGATTCATCTATGAATTCATCTTCATTAGCCACACTCATGAGCAAATCCCAAGTGGAGATTTTTAAGTAGTGCTGAATTTTTATCAACTCGTTGTTTAATTTTCATTTTCTCTTTGTAAACTTCTTTGTTTGTTTGTCTATGTTTAATGGGCACTGTTGAATTGTACTTTGTTTATTCGGACGGCTTTTGTTATTTATTTTCTTTATTTTGATCGTGGTAAATAAGATATTTTGATTTGTTTTAAAAATATTATACCTATTTTTATCATCTCGATTTTAAAATTTTTACACGAAATGTAGCTTAATAATCAATAATATGTCCGCACGTTGTTTCTTAGCAATATGTTTGGAGAAAATGTCAATGATTACTCTAAAGTGATGCGTTAGGTAGGAAAACATAGGGTCCTATTAAATTGTATCTATTATCTTGACATCAAGAAAATGTCAATGATTATTTTATATTAAAGTGCCTTTATGGCATAGTACCTTATTTATAGAGAACATATATATAAGGGACCCCCTTAAATAATATGTTTATCTAAATTTCTAATTTCACAATTTGAATGTGATATTAATTTTATGTTTAATTAATTAATTTGGACTCTAAAATTTTAAAATGTATATTACATTATTATCAGGATTATAAATTATAAATGATCCATTATATATCTATTTTATACGTATCAGTAATATATTTTAAGTTACTAATTTGATGATCGCACTTTGACAATTCGACTAGTAAGAAAAAGTAACAGTGACTTTTTTTGAAGAATTATTGTCCGAAGAGAGCCTAGAAAACAAAGATTCTCTCTATAGTACAATAATTGCCGATGCCACTATCTAATTAATTATTTTTACGTGATAGGACAAAGTTAAACTAACTTAATTACGTAAAATATATTTTTAACTTTAGTATATGAAAATTATTTAATTCACATCAAATAATTTATTCTCTTAATAGGGTTATAGGCAAAAGCTATCATCTCTTATAACAAGTTCATCCTGACTCAATATTTTTAATATAAGGCATAATTATATATGATATCATAAGTAAATATAGTGTCTGGATTTCGAATTCATCATAATTAAGTATTCTCAATGTCGGAAATAATCATACACATGTAAAATTTTTACTAGGACCGTAAAATATATTAAATTTGAATTCATAATTTTAAAAAATATATTTTGGTATTATAAAAATCCTAAATAAGTTGTTTAGCAAGAGTTAACAGTAATACAAATAATTTGTCTTTTTAGGTTTTTTGTCACTCTACATGTGATATGTTTTTTATTTATTTTTTCAGGTATTACTTTTCTGGACCACTAATAAATAGGCACAGATTCATTTTTGGATATTTAAAAAAGCTGCTTTGTTTTTATCCCATATATGCTCAAAATAAATAGATCAATTAAATTGGATCTTGTATTTCTCTACACCTTTTCTTTAATTCTACTCACTCAACTTTTTCCCCTTTTAAGAGTGGTATAATTTTGTCTTTATTGTTGTACTTTCGTTTTTCTTTTCCCCTTCGAGCTAGCTTGAAATGAAAATACTAACCAATAAAAGTTTGGGTTGAATGCTAAATACTTTATTAATTTTAATAAAATATTTTGGATTCAAGTTTTTTTAATTATGGAGTTGTCTTTGCTAGCTAGGGAATACTTTATCAGAATTTTTCGATACAAATCCAGATTCAATCGGGCTTCAACATGGATATCGAAAATTAAATGTGAAAAAAGAATAAATGAAAATAGAAAAGAGAAAAAAAGTAAATTACACTTGTACACGTTAGATCATATATTATTGTCCAAATAAAGAAAATTCAAAATGGAAAAGGAATGTCCATCTTTAATAGGAGTTTTTTCATCTCGAAATAATTTTTTTTTTGACACAAATTCAAATTAATTAAATTCCAAAATTGTTATCGGACACAAACCTTCGATGGGATATCAAAAAAAAATAAAAAATAAATAGACCATAAAATCAAGTAAAATCTATAAGGGGGCCTACTTGAAGTACGTAGTGGAACATGATTGTCAAGTGGGCTTAAGTCCCTCAAATGTTCATGCTTGAAAATCATGTTGTCATTTACTACTTCACATGGAGTAGGCCAGCTTTTATATTTTTAACTTCAAAGATAAAAACAACCTTTTGAATAGTACAAAATATCGATTTGAATTTCCTCTCTCGTCCGTCACTAACATAAAGTCTCGATTCGAATTCCTTTATCAGAAAATACTTTATTTGATGTGAAATATTTTAGTGTAAATTTGAATTTAGTCAGACTCCAACTTGAGTATCGTGAAACCAAAAAAAAAATTTTTTGGCCATAGTAAACACACTCATATTAACATAGTCTTTTCCAATTTATCATCAATATCAATGTAATGTTCTAAGATATTCAAATAAACTACTACTATTACATTAGGAATGCTTAGAATAATATTTTGAAATTTGATGTTATAAGAAGCTGTAAATCTAGCTTTGGCTGTACTAGTTTGTCCGATAATGATACGTATAACTAGTTAATATATTTGCGCTTCGCTGACAGTATTAGATTTATGAATAAATTTTTTTGTTTAAATATATCGAGTCAAATATTATTATCATGAAACCCAATAAATTATATTTTTCAACTTGTTGTTCACTGTCTATATTTTTAGTATTTTAAATATAGTTGATTTCGTATAATCTATTTTGTATGTTATCTTTAGAAACATGTAAAGAAAGAAAAATAGTTTCATGAAAATTTTCTTTTTGTTTATCCAGCTGTAGTAAATTCTAAATTATATTTTAGGAGGGAGTTAAATTATACAATGTTCATAAAAAAAATATTAAAAAAAAAGTTACTCTAAATAAATTGATAATCGATAATTTAATAAATTAGAAAACATACCATATATAATTCCTAGAGTGGAAATATACAACTAATTTCAAGTCATGTTTATCATATTATTTTATCTAAAATAATTACATCTTTTAGAATCTATTGCTTGTAAAATAATAAAAGGTTGACTTTTATTTTGGTGAAAATCATCTTCGGTATATTGAGAAATCATGTCACACTACATAAGCAATTCAATAGGAGCATCATATTTTCATTATTCAACTAACAATATACTCTACTTAATTTTTTTAATTTAACATGAATCTAATATGAAAAGCAAACATTCAATATTTAAAAAAAATAGCAACACAATAATTATTATTACAGAACGAAAAAAAAGCAATTGTTGCAATATACCAAACTGTTAATAAACACTTATAAATTTGTAATATATAAAAAATACTAATAAAATACAAACACTCTATAGAAAATCTCGTTAAAATTGTTACTTGTAGCAACTAAGTAAGATAAGAAAAACTATATAAATTGCACATTAATTACTTTAGGGGGTTATCCACATGAATGGTTTTAAAGTCATGAATATTATTAATTAACAATTAACAATTAAAAATAAAAGTTACATATATAAAAAATGTTAATTATGCAAAATAATACTATTAAGTAATTATTTGGAGAGGAAATTTTGAAAATATATTTTACAATATCACACGGGTGAAGAAAAATAAAAAACATGCTAAATAATTTAGAGAAAAGATAAATGTGATCGAAGGTGATAGAAATGTACCACATCATCTTATTTATTTCTAACATTCTAACTTTATATGTAAATAGATATATTGGTTGTAAGTAAATAATAAAGAGAAAATAACTTAAAATATTTTTTAAAAATTATTATTCTAAAATTATAATCAGAAGAAAGTCAAAAAAAAAGGAAAAGAAAGTGGACAATCAATCTATTAGGATTGGAAATTAGATGTGAGTTATGGATGATTATTATTTACTCCTAATAAAGTAGTATGTGAAAAGTTTTTA